TGCGTTGATTTTAAAAATTTGCTAAACAAAAAATATTTCACAATTCCTAAGTTCTTGGAAATCCAAATGGTAACCCAAATCCGTAATTGTACAAAAGTAAATTCGTATTTTGCTAAGCCAACAAGTTCTTCCAGCTTCATCTAGTGATTTTAAACATTAAATAACATTGTTTTGGGTAAGGCATGGTGGCATAACTAATAGCTTACACAATTTAAGGATGCAATTTGTATAATAAAGTTAATAACAAAGTGGGAAAGTCTACTACCAATTCACCTAAAAACAATGCTTGTATTTTGGTAATTTTTTCCGAACATTTAAATAAACCCCTTAAACATTATTTGAACAAGATTCTATAGTTTTGGAGCTAAAATTGATACCCCCAAAAACTGTGATCCCTTTAACAAAGAATAAGGTTGGATTCATTGAAATAATTTTAAAAGTGTTCTTTATGGGAAAACTCTACCCAAAGGGTTTATTCATAACCCTTTATGGCCAAAAATTGCTTCTTTGACGCTGTTGAAGCCTTTAAATTTATAAAGAGCTAAATTCCTGATAGGGGTTGTGGAGTGAATACAAAACCTTTTATTTAAAAACAGCAGTTGGTATTTCAGGTGACCGCGAAAAGACCAAGATTCATAATTACGAAGACGACCTCAATTTCGAAATTACAATTATCTCTGTTTTGTCAAGATTAAATTTCCATGCCTGTGTTCAGCAAAAATTGATCAATTACATTAAGTTGTTGTTGTAATTTTGTAGCAGTTTCAGCACAAATTTGTATATATTTGAGAGGAAATAACGTTGTGGTATTTATTAATATTCATTCAAATGAAGCACACCTAAACAGTAGTGTTTAACAATTTACACTTTCTTAATTTGTATAAAGTAACAATTAAACCCTGATGAAATGCTGCTTTACGACACGCAGCAGGCAACAATGTTCTGGTTTTAAAGAAACATAGAAGAAAATGCTACTTCAAAATGCAACAACTTTTTTGCAAGTTATGGTCATGTATGCACCTCAGAAGCGCAGTAATTTAGCTTTATATAGATTTGGTAAGAGAAACAATGCGCATGGATGAATATTGGAGGTGTAAATAGCCATGTTCCCTATGAAGTTAATAATGTTGTCAGCAAAACTATTTCAATATTATCATCATATTACAACGTTTGTACCAATAAATTTTTGTTTGTTGGCAATATCAAAAGGGAAAGGGGTAAATAAATTGTTATGTGGTCTAATATTAAGAAGGGTTAGTTTGCGTATAATACTAGAAATTTTTGCTAGCAAGAAAAAAGTACGGTGTCCCTTTTTTAGCAAGACGAAATGACCAATATTAACCTTTTTTCTGAAGCAAATTTTGTTTCCGATTTCTTTCGTCCTTGGGTTTAACAAACGTTTTGACCGTGCAAAAATGTCTTAAAATCAACCCAAACAACACAATAAAGAATAGTTGTATAGAAAACAATATTGGGCGGGAAAAATGGAAAAATTCGTGCGGCAAAAAATATTAAAAGTTTAGGGAAAAACCCAATCTAATTGATAATGTCAACAGGGTTCTCGATCGTAAATTTACGGAGGTCCATTACAGGTGCAGGCATATCAAAGTTTTAAATTTAGAAAAAGGTTATATACAATGTTAATAAATAAATAAAATAAAAATCAAACATATGCGAAATTATTATTTTTTTAAAAATACAAAGCGCATGCATAAGACATTAATATCAACTGATATATATCTTTATCAAAAAGTGTGCATTTTAGATATAATATTTAGTACTCTATTAAAGGCTAGTACCTACATACCATTTTCATAAATTTCCCAAATTGTTAAATTGTTTATTGAAACCCCTTTTAAAAAAGGCATTTTTGTGTTTTTATCAATTGCAAATTGTAATTTCTTGAGTATTTGTTCTTGTCAAAGGGTATTTAAACTGGCTAATTTCAAAAAATGAAATTAGAGATCAAATATAAAATAGTTATTGAAATTTAATAAAATTACCTGCATATATAAACCCAAATACCAAATAGTGTATTAAGTTAAATAATATAAATTTAGATATCATTGTTAATTCAACCAAGGCACAACTGAAAGCCTATGTTTAGCAAAATACTTTACTTCCTTTTTGGGTTATGTGTTCTCTGTCAGTCTTACAACGGATGTGTATGTAATTATTTTTTCTTTATTTATCTGACAGCAAATGCTTGCCCCCTTAGTTACGGAGTAAAGGGTTAGAACATTAGTAATTCATAGAAACAGTAATTTTAGAGTGGTAAAACTCACAATTTGAAACGCATAGTATTTATTGTTATTACAACTTTAAAGATAACACCTTTCTTAATTTTTAAAAGTTACAATGAGCCTGACGGCGTACTGCCTTTGAGACACGTCAGACAATGGTTTTCATTTACAAAAAAAACATGAAATATAAAAAAGACTTTTGAAATGTTTTGGCGGCCTAAACTCTGTATACAATGTATAATAACATTTCTTAAAAACTAATAATCACTTTTTAATTTTGTTCACGATGAAAAAGAGGCGTTAATGAGAAAATTTCTTAACCTCAAATGATGACTTTACGCACTTCGTGAACGAAGTATTTTCAAGAAAAATGGCAAAAAAATTGTTTCTGGTATATATGTAATTGTGGGACGAATTGAGACTTCGTTTATTGTGTATAAATCAGTAAACAATGCGATATTGTTCATATTTTTATGACTAATGATTGTGTAAGGACAATAGAATTACTGCGAAATATTGATGACGTTTACACATCGAGATGAGCGTTCCCTTTTAATATATGTTTAATAACAATCGTAAGCTATATGCGAAAACGAACTATAAGATATGAACTCTGGTTAAATGCAATCTTCACAAAATAATAACTTACAGATGGGAAACATTAACGGTTTCAAATTTTTTTTTTTAGCAAAATCAAACAATCAATCAATGTCAAACAGTTGAATTTATATTCCATCAAATGACTGATTGTAGGGCTTAAATGTTACTGAAGACATGATGTATATATGAGCCGCGTCACGACAAAACCAACCCTGCGTTTTGCGACCAGATGGATCCAGACCCAGCCTGTGCATCCGCGCAGTCTGATCAGGATCCCATGCTGTTCGCTTACCAACCTTTTTACAAGTAGAGAAACTGAATAGCGAACAGCAAGGATCTGATCAGACTGCGCGGAATGCGCAAAGGCTGGTCTGGATCTATCTTGCTGGTCGCAAACGCACTATGTTGGTCGTGACGCGGGCTCATTATACTGTTGATGCAAGTTTGCAGAGTATTGGCCGCATCCTATGGTGCTCCGTTTTTTGGCGTTTTTCTGAGTGTCAGCGGACGTTCGTCATGAGCGTGTGGGTGTTTGTCGAGTGGTTAGTCGTTGACTTTAAAACCACTTGCCCCTTCACCCCTTATGAGTTTCGAATCCAATAGGGACTGAGGTATTCCTCCACCAGTAAAGCTGGAAGTCACCGTATTGAAGATTTTTTTCAAAACACCAAACATGATGGTATTGAGCTTCATGGTTCATTTTTGCTGCTCTAATGCGGTTTATGCGCGATGCAGAAGGTCAAGTCAGTTTATTCCTGTCCATAGAATGCTGAACCAGCTAGGGTAAGCAAATATGTTAGTTCTTTCAGGTAACAATCCCAGTCGCATTTATGAATTGCTAACTTTGGCCACGGATTTATATTACAATATATAATGTAATATGAATTCCTTGCTTTGGCATAACTTAACACAGAAGAATTTCATTATGATTTGAACGCTTCTGGTGACTAGCAGCAAAATCTATCGAAAAATTACCAACTCGAACCCGCACTATATAGCTCTGGCACTGTTTTAGGCTGGCGTTCTCCAGAAACTATGTCAAATGCCAAATGATTGCCTTACCAAGCACATATTTGAAATGCGATTAAATATGTTTTATGCTTAAAGGCGCCAGTTAAGCTTCAACTAGGATTTATCTCTAAATGCAAAATATTGGTCAAATATGGGGTTATTCAAGAATTTAAATGAATATTCCTTATTCTCAGAGTTCCCAACAAAATAGACTTGGAAAAACACAATAAGAAACAGCATTATTTCTATCAATATATTGACCGGGAAGTGATCCAATATCAAATCTGATCAGAATTCTGCACATCTTGATCAATTCATATAGCAGTCTCTCCCTCTAGCTTTATACCTTTTAGCAGAAACAAAAAATCTTATATGCCATGTTCTAAACGTCATAAAGATACATTCATTGATTTCGTCAGTACAGGTGTCGAGATCACTCGCCAAAGTTTTGAATATTTCATAAAACATGTGCTGTAATAGCTCTGAATATTTTCTTAGGCGCCTTATTGATCCAGACATTTTGAAAATTCTTGAATTAGATTCCAGCATGTCGCGGTGCTATAAAAACCTAACATATAACTCTATCTGCGTGTAAGACACCACCGAAAAATACAAAATGTATGTTTCACTGCAGTGAAAAAATTATTTGTTACAGTGAAAATACGGAAACATGAAAAATACGCACTTTGTTTCATCAATATTTCTCAATATTTCATTTATAATTATGTAATGAATGTAGATATCTTTTCGTTTCGTCAAAATATCTTAAAAGGAATAAATTAATTCTTAAGTGTTTAATGTCTGTCTAGTACATGCAGATCTGCAACAATGTAGATCTACTTGAATAAATACTGAAAAATATAGATAAGATATAATCAGAGACATACATGTAGATTGTTTAAATTTATTAATTTTGAAAAAAAAAAAGATTCTGATTCGATATTCAACAGATTTATATTTTTCTTGAAATATGTATCCGAGGCATATAATATGTATAAGCCGATAAAAATCCACTCATATGCCACATAACAGGTAACGTCACGGAATTTAAATTACAGTCCGTGGTAACGTGTGCAGTTCGAAAAGTCGTAGAACGAAAAAATTATGCTGTCACATGACAACTGTACTGTATATATCATGTGATAGGAAAATGGCGGCGCCCATAGTAAAAACCTTTGTGTCGGTTTATTATTTAATATTCTTTTATTTCCTGGTAAGAAATTTGTGTGATTATTATATTTTATTTTAAATCGGTTCGATTTAAACATGTGATGCGAATTTAAAAATATGTATAGTAGTTTTTGCTTGTATCGTATGATAATACTGGAGAATTATTCAGTTAAATTGTTTAAGTTAAATTTGTAATACTGCCAACCAATCTTTCGAGTGTTATGTGCACGTCGGATTGTTAGTAAAAGGTGAAAAGAAAGCTATAGAAAGAAAAGTCCAAGCATTATAAACATGCTAGGAAGGTGAGACTGAAAATGTATTCTAGTCATGGTTTAAAATGTTAATAGTGAAACAAGATGATAAGAGATAAAATAGTTTAAAAACACTGGGAGTAAGACTAGTACTGCAAACCCACCACTGCCAGTTTGAACTGACTCAAGTTTTGCAGGGTGGCAATGTTACTTAAAATGTTAAGTGAAACAAGATGATAAGAGATAAAATAGTTTAAAAACACTGGGAGTAAGACTAGTACTGCAAACCCACCACTGCCAGTTTGAACTGACTCAAGTTTGGCAGGGTGGCAATGTTACTAGGGAGTTTATTCCATAGGATAATGCTATGGTAGTCGGAGGATACCTGTATTTGGCGTAGGGATAAGGAGTGCATATGTCTGGTTAATCTATGTGGGGCTTGGACATATGGTGGGAGATTAATTGCAACTAGGTTATTGTATATCTTGTAAAACATTATCAGTCTACAGTCCAATCTGCGATGTTCAAGGGATCGCCAGCCCAGTTCTTCCTGCATGGCTGTGACACTAGAGTGAGGGGATTAATCCCTTTAAACCCATCTTATTGTACGTCTCTGGATCATCTTGCTATATATATTATTATATATAATATAATTTACCCAAGTTTGCGTTTTACATCATATGGCATATATGTAGATTGTATCTTACCAGTTTCATTTTATTATTATCATTATTTTGTTTCTATGTTTCAACTGTACCTATGCATTGTGTGAAATTCCTAATACCTTGTCTAATATACTGGGAGAAATTCTTTGCCAATGGGGAGAGTGTTAAGTGGAACTATAAAAAAACAGCAGTATTGTACAGAATTAAAAAAACATGAAAGTAGGCAAAGCCTATGGAATAAAAACCTTATAAATTTCATTGTTTTAAATATTTTTTTGTTTTAAAGGTGTCATTCTGTATTTTATGCAACTCTTCAATTTTTAATCGGAACACCTTGAGGATTATGCCTTAACCAAAAAGTTTTGATTGTTCCATTATCGTAATACCTCTGCTATTATCATTGAGTTAAATTAAAATGGCAACCCCTAACTACATGTACAAATGACACTAAAAATTGTACTGATATGATATGATCTCTAGTCATGTGAGTTTATTAGTGTTGTTTCTTTGATACCAGTTTAATACATGTAGATGCTTTGACATGTTAACATGTTTTAAAAATTTGTAATAATGTAATTCTTATCTAAGACAAGATTACCTCACTTTATTCACATGAAATTTTAAATCCAGTAATATCTTTATAAATAATGCTTTTTGGAACTTACAACCATACAAAAAATTTGTTTTACAGGATCTTTTACAATTAAGTATGTGCTTCTGCACAGTTAATTGTCTATGATATAGAAAACACAATTTGTGTGAGTTTCCATTCTTCATGGTATATACAACATAGTAAACAAAATGTGTAAACAAGTCAAAATTAAAGACATATATCTGCATTGTACATGTATATATTATATTGTAGTAGTGCTAATATTTTATCATTTAATCTTATTTTTAAAATATTTATATTTTTGGTCATGCTGTGCCTTTAATAATTAAAGGTCATCATTGGTCTTTAATACTAGTGAGAACTTCTCTCACATTGATTCCAAGATATTGTACATGTTAAACTATTTATAAATTGAGTTGACAGGTGTAAATTTTATCCAATCAGATGAGAGTATTTGTAATATGCCACATGGCAGACCAAGTTTTGTGTTTAGTTTTAAAGTTTTAAAGCGAGAGAAAGGTTGACTTTTTAGCTCACCTGAGCTTGCTCAGGGTGAGCTTTTAGGATCGTTGAATGTCCGTTGTCTGTCGTCCGTCCACAGTTGTTCGTTAACACTCTAGCGGTCACATTTTTGCCTCAATCATCATCAAACTTTGTCAGGATGCTTATCTAGTTGATTGCTCGGATGAGTTCGAACATGGGTCATCTCGGATGAAAAACTAGGTCACAGGAGCTAAAAATAGAAAAAAACCTTGTTAACACTCTAGCAGTCACATTTTGGACTCAAGTGTCATCAAACTTGGTCAGGATGCTTGTCTAGGAAATTGCTCGGATGAGTTCGAACATGGGTCAACTCAAATGAAAAACTAGGTCACCGGAGCTAAAAAATAGAAAAATCTTGTTAACACTCTAGTGGCTACTGTTTTGATCGAAATATCCTGTAAATTGGTCTGAAAGTTTGTTTTGATGATTTCTAGGTCAAGTTTGAATATGGGTCACCTGGGGTCAAAAACTAGGTCACACTGCCCAAATATGGAAAAACCTTGTTAACATTCTAGTGGTCACATTTTTGACTCAATTATCAAAAAACTTGGTCAGGATGCTGGTCTAGGTCATTGCTCAGATGAGTTCAAACATTGGTCATCTCGTATGAAAAACTAGGTCACCTGAACTAAAAATAGAAAAATCTTATTAACACTATAGTGGCGACTGTTTTGATCCAAATATCCTGTAAATTGGTCTGAAAGTTTGTTTTAATGATTTCTAGGTCAAGTTCAGACATGGTTCTTCTTGGATGAAAAACTAGGTCACACCACCCAAATATGGAAAATCTTGTTAACACTCTAGTGGTCACATTTTGGACTCATTATTATCATCGAACATGGTCAGGATGCTTGTCTAGGTAATTGCTCAGATGAGTTCGAACATGGGTCATCTGGCATGAAAAAATAGGTCACCAGAGCTAAAAATAGAATAATCTTGTTAACACTCTAGTGGCTACTGTTTTGATCCAAGTATCCTGGAAATTGGTCTGAAAGTTTGTTTTGATGATTTTTAGGTCAAGTTTGAATATGGGTCACCTGGGTAAAAAACTAGGTCACACTGCTCAAATATGGATAATCCCTGTTAACACTAGTGGTCACATTTTTGACCCACCTGTCATGAAACTTGGTCAGAATGCTTGTCTAGGTAATTGTTCGGATGAGTTCGATGGGTCAGGTGAGCAATCTAGGGCCATCATGGCCCTCTTGCTTGCTTTGCTCTTTGCTAATTTCTATTGAATTTAAAGTGTTTGGAGAAGAATTGGACTAAGCACACTAGTCACAACTGCCACATACACTGGATGGTAGAGTGATTGTTTGTGGAGAAAGATAATAATATACACAGGCCTCGACACTTACTTTTTAAGGAGGTGGTTAGCCGGACCACTAGAATTGAAATTTAAGTGGTCCTTCCAGAAGTCAGGTGGTCAATTATTATTATTATTATTATTATATCATTTTACTGCAAATTTAGAAAAAATGCTTTGAAATGATGACAAAGATGTATAATATATTAACCTTTAAAGAGAACAAATATTTTAGATTTATATCTTTTTAAAAATCAGAATTTAAGAAGAGCAAGTCAATAGGTATTCTATCGTTTAGTTATCTGTTTTTGTGGGGTTTTTTTAATCTCATTCAAAAATACACAACATAGCTCTTAACTTATTTAGTAAATAAATTATTTATGTTAACTTTTATATTGAAGTGATTTCTCCCTCAACTCAAGTTAAAGAATATTGAAACCATTTGTGCCTGTTATTTTTTTTACTGTTATTCAAATATTTATTGCTGATACGGTGTACGTCTGATTATCATAATAATTACAGGCATCATTTATAGATTAACATTTTTAATAAAACTAATACATTATCTTATTCATGTCTTTGAAAACAAGGAAATATCTAAAGGATAAAAAATAGTATCAACGTCATATATAACTATAGTTTAGCTTATTTTCTCACTGATTTATTTTAAATAAAGAATTTTTACCTCCCTGTTGCTTGTTGATTAATTGATATTTATTTTTGACATTGAGTATTTTTAACCTTTTAAAGTAATTTTAACTCTAAGAGAAATTGATCTCTTATCGTAAAACATAAGTAGCAAAGAATTACTAGATCCAATTTTCCAGTTCCTTTCGTTCGCGGCCATATTATTCAAGTATCTGAACCGATATCCCATACAATATCATAATTACCATCGTCGGATACCCACGGTTGATTAACATGCAACATAACATAAATGTTAATGGTCCCACCATGGGTATCCGACGGTGCATAATTACTAGCATCATTTGAATGAATTTGTATCTAAATTAATGTCACAAAATCTTAACTCTCTTAACTTGCATCAACAAAATTTTAGCAACTTAAAATGAAAGTAATTGATGACTCAACTTCTTTAAATAATCAGAGATTAGTAAACCATATACCATGCACATCGGACACATGATTTTAAACAAAATGTATATAACATGTTTTTGACCAAATCGCCATTCTCCCAAATAAGCCTGCACAAACCAGAAAATGCAAGTGGTCCGACGGACCAGTGGCTTTAAAAATTAGGTGGTCCTTGCCAAAATCAGGTGGTCTCGGACCAACGGACCACCGCTAATGTCGAGGCCTGATACATGTAGAAGAGGATACTTGTATCACTCACAAGGTCCATTATATTATTTCTTTTATAGACTGAATAAATATATCTAGCAAAGAACCTGATTGTGTTGTCTTGCCCTGAGACCATAGAGGCACAGCTGCTAGAATATCAATTGGTCAAAATTTGTTAAAATATGACTAGCAGCTGCTCTTTATGATTATAACAATTTTCTTTTCTTGTATAATTACAGATATCAATTGTGATGTGAAAACAGCCAGTGTATACTGCAGTGATCGACAATGTACCTACAAATTTGGCAACCTTGATGTAGAATCAGCAACAGCCTATGGTGTTTACAATGATACACTTATGGAAAGTGGTTGGGGAATTCTCAACATCAGTGCTGGGAGAGGCAGTAAGACAGCAGAAAATGTCGACCTTATGTTTGCTGCCGGCTACTTAGAAGCAATCCTTACTCAAAAGTATAAGACATTAGTTCTCCTTAGATTAAAAAATTTGCACTTTGGTGTGTCAATTTTAAAAAAAGTATTTCCTAGATAATGTAATACCTTTCATTTTTCAAGTTGTAAATAAAGAAAAAAAGCAAGAATGTCCATTGACAACAAAATACTTACATACCTAGTCTAATTAAAAAGATTTCACATCAGTTTTATTAAAGAGTATCTCTAAATCACAGTTTAATATCTAAAGAAATTTTCATGGTAAATAATTGATATTAATGTTGTAAATCAAATACAAAGGTATCATTATGAAATTATTATTTGAGTACAATGTGTTTCATTTTTCTGTTTTCACTATTACAGGAGAATATTTCAGCATTACCAGAATCTGAATGACTATTTTGAAACAAGGTTTGGAAACAACACAGATGCTAAGAAGGCTGTGAAAGCATTCTTTTTAAATCAGGACATGTACATGAGAAAAATGATCAAAAATAATGTACCAGCTAGTCCATATTGGCGACATATGTCTTACATACTGGCACAATATGATGGACTTGCAAAAGGTTATGGGGATGTTGCTCCAAGTGATATGGTTAGTTGTATTAATCCTTTACATAGTGAGTTTTGGTAATGGTCCATTTGAAATTAAAAGAATTTTAATACCAAGATATAAAAACTGAGCTACCAGTACTTTATAAGATGCTCATATATTTAAAGGGACTCCACTGAGGTTTAAAAGCCTTAAAATATAACATATGAATTTCTTACATAAATGAGCTGGGGCATTTTAAACAGAAATATATGCAAAGATAGTTTAGAAATATACTTTGAAATAAATTGAAAATCACATTTTTATGCTTTTCTTAGCCTGAGTTGAGTGAAAAGTATTTAAACGCTTATCATTTTGGGTCATTTTTTAACAACTTGAATAATTATTCTGGAAAAACAAAGTGTGCAAATGATCTGAAATTATGCACAAAGATTAGTGGTCTAATCCTACATCAAATGGTACATTTCTCTGGAAAAAATATTTTCAGTCCCATCATGTCAAAATACCTCAGTGGAGTCCCTTTAACACTGTATCTTTTTATGCCACCGCAGCATCTGTGTGTGTGTGTGTTTGTTTGTTTGTTTGTGTGTGTGTGTGTGTTATTTAGATTATATAGTGAACTTAAAAAATCTTCTTGTGAAAAACCACTAGTCCAATTTCAACCAAACTTGGCAGGATTGATCCTTGGGTGAAAGGCTTCCAAAGTTGTTCAAAGAATTTAATTCCATGCAGAAATCTGGTTGCCATGGCAACCAAAAGGAATTATAAGAATAAATTTAAAGAATCTTCTTGTAAAGACCCAAAAGGCCTAGAGCTTAGATATTTTGCATAAGGCATTGTCTGGTAGACCTCTACCAAGATTGTTCAAATTATAGCCCTGGGGTCAAAATCGGCCCCGCCCCGGGGGTCATTGATTTTCACTATATGTACATATACTAAAAACTTAAAATACCTTTTTAGCTCACCTGTCACAAAGTGACAGGGTGAGCTTTTGTGATCGCTTTTCGTCCGGCGTCCGTCCGGCGTCAGTCCGTCGTCGGTCCGTAAACTTTTACTTTAAATGACATCTCCTCATAAACCACTAAGCCAATTTCATCCAAACTTCACAGGAATGTTCCTTTGGTGGTCACCTTTAAAAATTGTTCAAAGAATTTAATTCCATGCAGATCTCTGGTTGCCATGGCAACCGAAAGAAAAAACTTTAAATATCTTCTTTTAAAAAACCATAAGAGCTAGAGCTAAGATATTTAGCATGAAACATGTTCTAATGGGTGTCTACCAAGTTTGTTCAAATAAAAGCCCTGGGGTCAAAATTGGCCCCGCCCCGGGGGGGTCATTGATTTTCCCTATATGCATATAGTAAAAACTTTAAAAATCTTCTTTTAAAGAACTCAAAGAGCTATGGCTAAGATATTGAGCATCAAGCATGTTCTAATAGGTGTCTACCAAGTTTGTTCAAATAAAAGCCCTGGGGTCAAAATTGGCCCCAACCCAGGGGGTCATTGATTTTCCCTATATGCATATAGTAAAAACTTAAAAAATCTTCTTTTAAAGAACCAAAAGAGTTAGAGCTAAGATATTTAGCATGAAACATGTTCTAATAAGTGTCTACCAAGTTTGTTCAAATAAAAGCCCTGGGGTCAAAATTGGCCCCGCCCCGGGAGGTCATTGATTTTCCCTATATGCACATTGTAAAAACCTAAAAAATCTTCTTTTAAAGAACTCAAAGAGCTATGGCTAAGATATTTAGCATCAAACATGTTCTCATAGGTGTCTACCAAGTTTGTTCAAATAAAAGCCCTGGGGTCAAAATTGGCACCGCCCAGGGGGTCATTGATTTTCCTTATATGTGTATAGCAAAAACTTAAAAAATCTTCTTTGAAAAAACCCAAATAGCTAGAGTTAAGATATTAAGCATGAAACATCTTTTAGTGAGTGTCTACAAAGTTTGTTCAAATAAAAGACCTGGGGTCAAAATTGGCCCCGCCCCGGGGGTCATTGATTTTTTTTAATGTGTATAGCAAAAACTTAAAATCTTCTTTGAAAAAACCCAAATAGCTAGCCTCAGTTTAGATATTAAGCATGAAACATCTTCTAGTAAGTGTCTACAAAGTTTGTTCAAATAGAAGCCCTGGCCCGGCCCCAGGGGTGTCATTGTTTTTAACTATATGTGTATAGTAAAAACTTTAAAAAAATCTTCTTTTAAAAAGCCCAATGAGCTAGAGCTTAGATGTTTAGCATGAAACATCTTCTTATGGGTGTCTACCAAGTTTGTGCAAATAAAAGCCCTTGGGTTAAATTGGCCCTGCAACGTTTGGGGGGGGGGGGGCTATATACAGGTGAGCGACCTCAGGGCCATCATGGCCCTCTTGTTGTAAAGACCCATAGGCCTAGAGCTTAGATATTTTGCATAAGGCATTGTCTGGTAGACCTCTACCAATTTTGTTCAAATTATAGCCCTGGGGTCAAAATCAGCCCTGCCCCGGGGGTCATGGATTTTCACTATATGTACATATAGTAAAAATTTAAAATACCTTCTTGTAAAGACCCAAAAGGCCTAGAGCTTAGATATTTTGCATAAGGCATTGTCTGATAGACCTCTACCCAGATTGTTCAAATTATAGCCCTGGGGTCAAAATCGGCCGGGCCCCGGGGGTCATTGATTTTCCTCATATTTACATAGTAAAAACTTATAGTAAAAACTTTAAAAAAATTTCTTCTAGCAATTGACAAATGCTAGAGGTTAAATACTTTGCATGAAACATTGTGAAGTGAACCTCTAGCAAGAATGCTCAAATAATAGCACTGGCGTCAAAATTGCCCCCTGCCCCGGGGTCATTGATTTTCAATATATACATATAGTAAAAAATAAAAAAAATCTTATTGTCTGAAGGTACAAGGCTTAGAGCTTTAATATTTGTTAAATGATATCATCTATAGGTACTCTACCAAACTTGTTCAAATTTTGCCTCTAGTGTCAAAATTAAAAGTGAACTTTGATATCAGCTGACCTAGATTTTGACAAAGTGTATTACATGTTGTCCTTTGATGCAGTCATGAAATTTTAGGCTGTGTGAAATATGACCTTCACCACCAAATTCACTAGACTCAAGTGCATTGATATATTCCTACTCTGATCTTTTATTGAGTTAACAATAGATTTAACCACTAATCTGATAATAAGAATTAGATATGCATTATGACAATCTTCAATTGTATAGAAACAAAAAAAATCTGTTCCTACACTACTATTTAGTGTTGTATTAATGCGGTGGCATAGCATTTTTCTCAAGTGCAATCTTGTTTTTTAATTTATTGCATCTTGCAAAAAATTATTATAGTTGATTAAAAAAAAGGACCTTTTAAAGTAATCTGATATGTTTGTATAAATAGAGGTTTATACATAACAAAGCTTGGATTGAACATGGAAACTAGTGCTTTAAATGAATGATGAGGTGATATTTTGTAGTCACAGTTAATTACAACCATCCATCTCCACTCTTTTATGTTTTAATTGACATGCAATATTTTTAAAGATAAATAACTTAATAATTATAAAAGTTTTATATTTTATTGTACATTATCTTAAAAAAAAGTAAAAAATATCATTACTACTAATTAACAATTATACATTGATACACATTTGATTATAAATGTTGGAGCTAATATGACATCATAGTATGGCAAAATATTGCGACCAATAACTTAACAATACATGGGGCCCTTGGCTCTCAAACTTCATAGGTGCATTGATCTTGGCAAGTAGATAACCCCTATTGATTTTTTGGTCAAGGGGCCAATAACAAACAACTTCTGACATGCTGACAAGGTTGACCCTGCATGTTTTACAAACATCTCTTGTTTTGATTTTTCAGAAACTAAGTCTGTATGCATTTCAAGTATTAAATGGTAATGGGGATATGTTGGACCTTATAAGTGCTGTAAATCCCAAGAGTAGACCTGATTTTAAGAAAATGACCAAGGCAGAAGCTGTGTCTTTTATAGCCAAGTCTGGACGATGTTCAGCTCTTATCAAGGTAAAATTTTCATTTTGTAAGCAGAACAGGAGCATAAACTGAAATTATATACTATGATTGTGTAAAGAAGGTTTTGCATATTGTACCATAATTTCACTTATTTCACAGATGTCAGGATTCCCAATATTTGATAATATTATCCAATATGAAAGTAACATGTGTTTTTTGTTGTTGTTTTGCAGGTGTTAGGAGCATATGAGGATGTATTTATGTCACATTCTAGCTGGTTTATCTATCAAGCTACTATGAGAATATATAAACATTACGACTTTAACGTAGACGATCCTGACACTGCTGCCAAACAAATCTCTTTCTCTAGTTACCCAGGTATACTTGTTTTCTCTAGTTACCCAGGTAAACTTGTTTTCTCTAGTTACCCAGGTAAACTTGTTTTCTCTAGTTAACCAGGTATACTTGTTTTCTCTAGTTAACCATGTTAACTTGGTTTCTCTAGTTAACCAGGTTCACTTGTTTTCTCTAGATATACTTGTTTTATCTTTTTAGCCAGGTATACTTGTTTTCAATAGTTACCCAGGTATAATTGTTTACTGTAGTTATCCAGGTAAACTTGTTTTCTCTAGTTCACCAGGTATACTTGTCTTCTCTCATTACCCAGGTATACTTGTTTTCTCTAGTTACCCATGTATACCTGTTTTCTCTAGTTAACCAGGTATACTTGATTTCTCTCCTTACCCAGGTATACTTGTTTTCTTTAGTTACCCAGGTATACTTGTTTTCTCTAGTTAAGCAGGTAAACTTGTTTTCTGTAGTTACCCAGGTATACTTGTTTTCTCTAGTTAACCAGGTAAACTTGTTTTCTCTAGTTAAACAGGTATACTTGTTTTCTCTAGTTACCCAGGTAAACTTTTTTTCTCTAGTTACCAAGGCATACTTGTAATACTCTTACATATATGAACAAAAAACTTACCTAAATAGATCTCACAGTATCTCAATAAACTACCTGCCATGTACAATAGTAAAAATGAAGAAGGAATTAGCATAATGCAGCATAATAGGAAAAGTCATTTTATTAAAACATTACATTACTGGACAAAAATGATAAACATTCTATTTTATTGGGTGTTTGCTCCATTATATTTATAACAACAGAAAATAAATGTTGTAGCAGATGTAAGCCTTTGAATCATGTTATTGTAGGGTTCTTGGAGTCACTAGATGATTTTTACCAGATGAGCAGTAAGTTGATAATGTTACAAACAACCAACAATGTCTTCAACACCTCATTGTACTCTCTAGTCACACCTCAGTCACTCCTCGCCTGGCACAGGGTTAGACTAGCCAACATGATGGCACATGATGGTGAGGAGTGGGCAACCATATTCTCAGAGAATAATTCAGGTTTGTATATATGATCAGAATATAATTGTATAAAAACATACCTGGCCTGTGGCATATTTCATACTGTTTTTATATGGAATCCACATTCATTAAATATCAATACCTCTGTTTATATAAGCATATAAGGGAAGTAACTTGTATTGAACTGTTGAAACTTATTCTTTGTTGTTATCTGCTTATTCAGTAATATTTGACTATGTTGTACCTAGAGTGATTCTACCCAATAAACGTTGTACATGAATATTGTTTTTAGCTTGTCTGTTTCAAAGAAAAAGTTGAGCTATAATGATCACTGCATCAATGTTGTCGTCATAGTGCAAAAATTTTAATGTAGCGCATTTCTCAAACAATTATAAGGTATCAACATGATTTCAAAATTAGTATCAAAATAAAACTAAAAATACTTGTTTATCATGACATGGTGCATTTGTCAGAGAAGGGACATTTTTCTGAAAGAAATGTTTTGGGAGTTATGCCCCTTTTTAACTAGATTTTGGGCGTATTATTAAGTAGAATGATTTCAAACTGTTTTAGCAATTTATCATGACAAAAGACCAGTTGTTCCACAAGGGGCATTATCTTGTTAGCAATATGTTTTGAATTATGCTCTTTTTTAATGTTATGAAAATTTATGAAAATTTGTTATAATCAGATGATTGTTATTAACATGGCATTGCTCTTGTGTATCTTTTCAATGAAAGTGTTTTGTTCCTTTGCCAACTGACACAAAAAATTGTTGGGGTTTTTTTTGAAAAAGAAAAGTCTGTTATTGATAATCATTTCATTTTATTTATAATTATTTCATTGCCTTATAGGAACATACAACAACCAGTATATGATATTAGACTTGAGGAAGATAGACTTAGAAAGGAACATACATGATGGAGCTCTGTGGGTAGTGGAACAGATCCCCGGGCTTGTCGAGTATGGTGATACTACACCTATACTCAGAACTGGTTAGTATAACATTATGTTTAGGATTGTTTCTAATGTTAAAGGGACTCTACTGAGATTTTACGACATGAAGGAGCTGGAAATTTTTTTATGTACCATTGCATGTAGGTCTCTTTTTTAGCTCACCTGTCACAAAGTGACAGGGTGAGCTTTTGTGATTGCTTTTCGTCCGGCGTCCGTCCGGCATCCGTCGTCCGTCTGTCCGTAAACTTTTACTGTAAATGATATCTCCTCATAAACCACTAAGCCAATTTCATCCAAACTTCACAGGAATGTTCCTTTGGTGGTCACCTTTAAAAAGTGTTCAAAGAATTTAATTCCATGCAGAACTCTGGTTGCCATGGCAACCAAAAGAAAAAACTTTAAATATCTTCTTTTAAAAAACCCTAAGAGCTAGAGCTTAGATATTTGGCATGAAACATCTTCTAGTGAGTGTCTACCAAGTTTGTTCAAATAAAATCCCTTGGGTTAAAATTGGCCCCGCCCCAGGGGGTCATTGATTTTCCCTATATGCATATAGTAAAAACTTAAAAAATCTTCTTTTAAAGAACCCAAAGAGCTTGAGCTAAGATATTCAGCATGAAACATCTTCTAATGATTGTATACCAAGTTTGTTCAAATAAAAGACCTCGGGTCAAAATTGGCCCCGCCCCAGGGGGTCATTGATTTTCCCTATATGCATATAGTAAAAACTTGATAAATCTTCTTTTAAATATCTCAAAGAGCTAGAGCCAGGATATTTAGCATGAAACATGTTCAAATGGGTGTCTACCAAGTTTGTTCAAATAAAAGCCCTGGGGTCAAAATTGGCCCCGCCCCAGGGGGTCATTGATTTTCCCTATATGCATATAGTAAAAACTTAAAAAAATCTTCTTTTAAAGAACTCATAGAGCTAGAGCTAAGATATTTAGCATGAAACATGTTTTAATGGGTGTCTACCAAGTTTGTTCAAATAAAAGCCCTGGGGGCCCGGGGGGTCATTGATTTTCCTTATATGTGTATAACAAAAACTTAAAAAATCTTCTTTGAAAAAACCCAAATAGCTAGAGTTTAGATATTAAGCATGAAACATGTTCTAGTGAGTGTCTACCAAGTTTGTTCAAATAAAAGCCCTGGGGTCAAAATTGGCCCCACCCCGGGGGGTAATTGATTTTCCTGATATGTGTATAGCAAAAACTTAAAAATCTTCTTTGAAAAAACCCAAATAGCTAGAGTTTAGATATTACGCAGGAAACATCTTCTAGTAAGTGTCGACAAAGTTTGTTCAAATAAAAGCCCTGGGGTCAAAACTGGCAGCCATGCCCCAGGGTTGTCATTGTTTTTAACTGTATGTGTATAGTAAAAACTTTAAAAATCTTCTTTTAAAAAACCCAATGAGCTAAAGCTTAGATGTTTAGCATGAAACATCTTCTTATGGGTGTCTACCAAGTTTGTTCAAATAAAAGCCCTTGGGTGAAAATTGGCCCTGCGGGGGGAGGGGGGGGGGAGAAATCATTGTTTTCATTATATGTGTGTAGTAAAAACTTAACATCGTGAAACATCTTCTAATGAGTGTCTTCCAAGTTTTTTCAAATATAAGCACTGGGGTTAAAACTGGCCCTGCTCCGGGGACCTATATACAGGTGAGCGACCTCAGGGCCATCATGGCCCTCTTGTATAACTTGTGTTCAAAATTTCAGAGCATTCCCTTGCCTGGTTTTCTAAAAATAAATCATTTTTATTATGCAAAATGTTTCAAATTTGAAAATCTTTTTTCACATCAAGATGTTATATTTAATGATAATTATAAAAATTATTGCTGGAACAAGGATGCTGATGATGAGAGAAATGATGATGATGCTTGTGATGATGATGATGATGATATATGACTTGCAAATTCGGTAAAGGATATCTTCATAGAAGCTTTTATTATATATTTTAAAATCAAACCAAGTATGCAACAATTTTTTTTTCCTAATTTAAACAAAAATATGTTTTACATTATCAAATAATACAGGTAGAATATTTCTTATATATCTATTTAGCAAAATTTAGTAAGTTTCAGGTGATAAATGTAGCCATGTACATTATAACACCCACCTTTAAAATAACTTTCTATCTACTTTTAAAGACCTAAGTAAGAATATTTCATACATACCTAGACTTTTGTTAATACATATAATATCAAATGATTTAACTGTTAACCTCCATTGAATTTATGTTGCACAGTATTTCATTTGTTGTGACCTATATTTTAAGGATACTGGCCATCCTATAATGTTCCATACTTTGAGAAAGTGTACAATATGAGTGGTTATCCAGACTTTGTAAAGCAACATGGAACAGATTTCTCTTATCAGCTTGCACCAAGAGCAAAGATTTTCCGTCGGGATCAGGCCAGTGTAAAGGATATGGCAACCATGAAAAATATTATGAGATATAATGGTAGGTAATATTGAAGTATATAAATGGTTTTCTGGCTTCTTGAAAGATATTGAGAATACATGGTTGATATTGAGAATACATGGTTGATATTGAGAATACATGGTTGATATCAGGATGGAGAAGAGCAAGAAAGTGTATCTTGGCGAGCTTTTGCAGCGAACCGGATAAACCTTCTCCTATCCTGACATTAATCATGTATTTGATTTATCCTGCTTTTCATCATGTTTTTAGTCTATTTAAATGATTTTATTATAACTCTTCCCTGTTAGTAGCCGGGTTGTCGGTCCGTCTGTATGTACGTATGTCCCGAAATTCGTGTCCGGTCCATAACTTCATTTTTTGATGTCGGATTTTACAACTATTTCAAAGAAATGATCACCATATTAAGACGATGTGTCACACGTAACATTTGGGTCGCTACCTTGAAGGTCAAGGTCACAGCATGACCTTGCAGCAAAATCGTGTCCAGCCCATAACTTTGTTATTTGAAGTTGAATTTTACAACTATTTCACAGAAATGATCACCATATTGAGACGATGTGTCACGCGCAACATTTGGGTTGCTACCTTGAAGGTCAAGGTCACAGCATAACTTGGTTATTTGAAGTCGGATTTTACAACTATTTCACAGAAATGATTACCATATATTGAGACGAGGTGTCGGGCGCAACATTTGGGTCACTACCTTGAAGGTCAAAGTCACAGTATGACCTTGCAGCAAAATCATGTCCGGCCCTTAACTTCGTTATTCAAAGTAGAAGGATAACATTTAAAATAGAAGTATCGACAAATGATTTCAAACTAAATTATACAAGAAATATATAAAGTAATTTTAATCCTTTATTTTCCATGTTTAATAACTAACTATATCTTTAATATACTCTGTGATATATAGATTACACAGAAGATCCATATTCTGAGGGGGATTCTTGTAATGCTATATGTTGCCGTGGAGATCTAAGGAAGAGTTCACCTGGACCATTTGGTTGCTATGATACCAAGGTTAGTTTACATGGTTGTTATTATGATTTTTGGAACAATAGTAACCTATCATTATAGGTTTGTGGAATCTCGCCACATACTTTGAAATCCTTCATTATTCATATCAGGATGCTGTCAGTGTCCAGCTAGTAAGTCCCCTACCACTTCATTCTGTACATGAAATCTGGATCCTACCATATGGAGATAATGCATATTCTGTGTGGTTGCTGTGGTTCTAGAAATGGTGAAAACCAATGAAAACTGAACAAAACTGAACTCAGCCATAACTCTAAGCATATAAATGCTAGGTTGATGATTCATGATGATATGGTATATGGACAAAGAATCATATGAAGATTAATACTAGAGAAAAATTAGATTGTGGTTGCCATGGTTATGGAAATGGAAAAAATTATATTAGTTGGATAGTAATGGCCAAAAGTCTTAAAAGCAATTTACATTAGTATTTATTCTGTGAAATCATTAATATATAACCCATTGATAGCTTGATTCGTATTCTAAAACAGCAGATTCATATACTTGGAGGAGATTTAGAGCATTTTAGAGGTGATGAATGGATTTGCAGGATTTATTAGACCATATAAAGTTTAAAAAACAATATGCATGACTTTAACTGTGGAAGTATCTCTAACAAAGTACTTCTATCATTATACAGGTAGCAAATTATAAGATGGCTCTAGAGATGACAGCAGATATAATCAATGGCCCCACCCTGGGGACAGGTCTGAAACCATTCCAATGGACTGACGAGTACAAACAGTCACATATAGGTCTTCCTGAAACATACAACTTTAACTTCCAACAAACAAGACCTCTCAGGTCACCATAAACAACAAACAAGACCCTTCAGATCACCATAAACAACAAACAAGTTCTCTCAGATAACCGTAAACAACAAACAAGACTCTTCAGATCACCATAAACAACAAACAAGACACCTAAGATCACCATTAACAACATACAAGACACCTAATATCACCATAAACAACAAACAAGACACCTTAGATCACCATTAACAACAGACAATACCATTCACATCACAATAAAGAACAAACAAACCCCTAACATTACCATAAAAAAAACAATACCCACTCAGAACATCATAAACAACAACACCTTATAAGTTTTTTTATGATTAGACACTGTGTCAGAACACTGCTGAACTAATTGATTGTATTTGTTAATTGTTCTTAATGCAGAACTGAGGTTAATATTCAAGTAGATAATTGATAAACACTTTAGATTCTCATTCTCAATTATATCATGGCAAGATATTATTATTTTACACTGAAGAGTAATTGATTATTACATAATCTCAAATCTGGTGTCAGTGTCATAATACACACTCTGTCTTCTATAGATAGACAATGTTTGATTAAATTGTTTATCTCATATGACAGTGTTATATCAAGATTTTAACGTCAGGAGTAATGGATTCATGTTTATTTATAAACTTGTTAATAATGGTGATGCTTAACTTTAAGTGGTTTTACCAATTATGCCAATTAATGGTTATCAGGTGACAAAGACAGTGAATGTAGTTTCATGTAAACATTGGGCCAGTTTTTGGCCATAAATATTAATCAATAGTTTGCTTTGTTGAAATTAAAAAGGGATCAATATCATGATAAAATTTGTCAACATATTGTAAGATTAGGTTAAGTATTATTATACATTAATTCATTCAATCATTATTTTGATTTATTTCAAATAAATACTGTAAAGTCTTGATGAATATTTTTAATACAAGTTTTTTTTGAAAATAATTGTGTATATGAATTATTTCAAAAAGTGGCGACAAATTTTATTATTTTTTGTGATGGCATACAAAATTGTGGATGATAGAACACATCTTTCTTATTAAGTTGTACTTACTTTTTTGTGTTATGATTATCAAAAAGACATTGTAAATTTTAAAACATTGTTTATAATAAGATTATAATGACAATCATGCGTAGAACGTAAAGCATTACTGTATAATTTTTAAGATATTATAAAATTGATGTAACATTTTTTTTCTTACACGTCTGTTTATTGGAAAAAAAAGAAAGAAAGAACTTTGATCTTAACATCTTCACGTTCTATCCGCCAAACCTTTTCTTCTGCCATGCAGGGCATGACGTTTAGCTGTATAGAGTGCTTTAATTATACCCATATTTAAGTGTCCAATCTTTTTATGAATATTTATCACCAGAAACAGATTTTTACATGTGTTTTTGAATTATTATATTGAAAATATATGTATTACATATAGTGAATATTTTGCAATATTTGATGCAACTATTTTATTTATAAAAAATTCCTATTAAAGATTTTTAAATTTGTAAGTTCATTCTACATATATTTTGTTAAAGGTATTGAATATCCATTGTGTATTAAAAGTTGGAAGTAAAGATTCAGATTATTTAAACTTGAGATTTTTATACCATTGTATTATAATATATATAATTATGATTTATTCAATGAATGTGATAAGTATAGATCTATATCTATTTTTTTATAAATTCGTAATGAAACAATAAATAAATTTACTTAACAAATATTTTTATTTATAAATTTATGCATGGTTGAAGGTAATAAAATTGTTGAATGTTGATAATTATATATACATGTAAATAACGGGCCCTTCCCATTCCAAATTCATTCTAGAGAGGTGAGTGACGAAGTTCTCCGAATTTATACGAGGGATGTTACAGAATTTATATGGGGGGTGTTACAGAATTTATTCAAGGGGTGTTACAGAATTTATACAAGGGTGTTACAGAATTTATTCGAGGGTGTTACAGAATTTATTCGAGGGGTGTTACAGAATTTATTCGAGGGGTGTTACAGAATTTATACAAGGGTGTTGCAGAATTAATGCAAGTTCACAAAAATCTCAAAAGACCAATGTAATGTTAACACTAAAGGGGGTTTCTAATTAAAAGCATTTCATAGAGCTACAGATGCATGAAGTTTCAAAGAAAACTATTGATTTAATGCAATTTGAAATATTTTTATACATTACACCACGTATAAATATGGCCGGGAATGCGTAGTCATAGAAGAACGTGCTAAAATTCACTCTCACATTAAAACATAAGATACTCTCGGAATGAGTATAATTTTTTCTAAGAACTCCTATAAAGTACTTGTTAGCTCACCAGAGCTGAAGGCTCAGGGTGAGCTATTAGTATCAAAGGGGTTGCTCCGGCGTCCATCGTCCGTCGTCATGTCTCAACAATCGTCTTCTTCTCTGAAACTACTAAGCAGATTTACTTCAAATTTTGTCTGTAGAATCCTTGTGACAGTCACACTTGAATTTGCTCATGTCATTCCAATTGGCCCCTTTAAGGGGTCAGCAGAGCTAAAAATAGAAAAACCTTTAAACATCTTCTTCTACAGAAATAATGGATGGATGATCACCAATCTTTGTCTGTAGCATTCTTGGGTAGTCTTTTAATCAAGTTTGCTCATATGAATTTGATTACCCCTTTTAGGGGTCTCTAGGGCTAAAAATAGAAAAACCTTTTAACATCTTCTTCTATAGAACTAATGGATGGATGATCACCAAACTTTGTCTGTAGCATTCTTGGGTAGTCTTTTATCAAGTTTGCTCATATGAATTTGATTGGCCCCTTTTAGGGGTCTCTAGGGCTAAAAATAGAAAAACTTTTAAACATCTTCTCCTACAGAACTAATTGATTGATGATCACCAAACTTTGTTGGTAGCATTCTCGGGTAGTGTTTTATCAAGTTTGCTCATATTAATTTGATTGGCCCCTTTTAGGGGCGGCAAAAGCTAAAAATAGAAATACCATTAAATGCCTTTTCTAGAAAACTAATTAATGGAAGATCACCAAACTTTGTCTGTAGCTTTCTTGTGTAGTCATTTATCAAGTTTGCTCATATGAATTTGATTGGCCCCTTTTAGGGGCCACTTAAGCTAAAAATAGAAATACCTTTAAATGTCTATTTCTACAGAACTAATTGATGGATGATCACCAAACTTTGTCTGAAGCATTGTTGGGTAGTTTCTTATCAGGTTTGCTCATATTATTTTGATTGCCCCTTTTAGGGGCCGCTAAAATTAAAAATATATATACATTTAAACGTCTATTGCTACAGAACTAATAGATGGATGATCACCAAACTTTGTCTGTAGCATTATTGGGTAGTCTTTTATTCAGTTTGCTCATATTAATTTGATTGGCCGATTTTAGGGTCCGCTAAAGCTAAAAATAGAAATACGTTTAAACATCTTCTCCTACAGAACTAATTTATGGATGATCACCAAACTTTGTCTGTAGCATTTTTGGGTAATCTTTTATCAAGTTTGCTCATATTAATTTGATTGGCCGATTTTAGGGTCCGCTAAAGCTAAAAATAGAAAAACCTTTAAACATCTTCTACTTCAGAACCAATTGATGGATGCTCACCAAACTTTGTCTGTAGCATTCTTGGGTACTCTTTTATCAAGTTTGCTTATACTAATTTGATTAGCCCCTTTTAGGGGCCACTAGAGCTAAAAATAGAAAAAAACCTTCGAACATCATTTCCTACTGAAATAATTGATAGATGATCACTAAACTGTGTAGCATTCTTAGGTAATCTTTTATCAAGTTTGCTCATACTAATTTGATTAGCCCCGTTTAAGCTAAAGCTTAAATACCCCAGATCGGCATTTCTTCATATTATTGTTTAAACATATTATATGCTCAAATTTAACATTAGAATATATTGACATTCCAACACTGAAAAGCAGTTGTTTCTGGTGAGCGACTCAGGGCCATCGTGGCCCTCTTGTCTTAAATTAGGATTCATTAAAAATGATGGGTAAAAAAGCTTAGCAGTTACTAGTCTTTAGGTTTACTCTCCGTCCGTCTGTTTGTCCGGCGTCCGTCCGTCTGTCAGTCCATTCGTCCACAAAAGTGGATCACGCGATAACGCTGAGAATTGAAAATATTTTTATGAAACTTGATATATGGATAGATGACAGTCTGCAAGTTATGCACGTCTTTTTCTTTTCTTCCTATAAAGAAGATATAAAAGAACGTCTTTTTTCATGAAATTTCTAAGTTCACAGGAGCTAGGTGATAATTCTTGTGCTAAAGTTGTAAACCTTGTCACATATGATGTGGTTGGTGATCAGAAACATATATTTGAAGTTTGAAGTACCTTAAGAAATAAAGAACTTATAGTGAATCAAGAATTTAATAAAAATCCTTCTTTTTTCAAGAAAATTCTAGTTCGGGGGGGGGGGGTAATTCTGATAATTTGTGTGCAAGAGTAGTAAACCTTAACACATATGATGTGGTTGATGATAAGAAAGAAATATTTGAAGTTTGAAGTATATACCTTAAGAAATAAAGAACTTAAAATTAGTGAAAAAGCGTAAAAACTTGAACGAGATCCTGCGCATGGTGAGCAGGACAGCTCTCAATATACTCCCTACAGTAAAGATTAAAATGATGTGTATAATCTCCATACTGCCATCTATCCATATCATAAGTTTCATAAAAATGTTTTAACCACTTTTTGAGTTATCACTAATATTGTGATATTTGCCATATTTTAGCTATAGTAACCATATTTTTCAACATAGGAAGAAAAGGAAAAGACGTACATAATCTCCAGACTGTCATCTACCAATGTTTCAAGTTTCATAAAATATTTTCAGTACTATTTGCGTTATCACTGGATCCAGTTTATGTGTTTAATTAGCCATATTTTCAGTCTATTTGTTGCCATAACAACCACAGTTTTCAACACTTCTTATTATCACCTAAATCAGTTGGTTCAATGCTCTAGCTTGACTTTTTCCAGAATAACCCTTCAGCTTTTTTCTCTAGCAACTATTATTCTTTTATCCAAACTTCTTCACTTCATTTCTTATAGCATTTACTTCTAACTCCAACATCATAATAAGTTGACAATGGTTATAAATCTAGCGTCCATAAAGATTTACGCTCGGACATCGTCGGTTACCCACGGTATATATTCCGTACATACTACATTATCTAGGTAACCGACGATGACCCTCGGAGTGTCTGTCAGTTTGTCTGTCTGTCCGTTCCTAAAAATTGTTTCCTGAGATCGCTTTTCCATCAAATCATTTCCATCATTTTACTTAAAATAGAGAAAAGTTGAAACATTACTTATAAATATTCATCCTGAGAAAATTGACTCTTCTGATTATTTCTTGTATAAGCATAATTTCATTACTAGGCAAGGAAACTTAATACATTACTAAGATATATACAAACTAAGAACTCAAAAGATTTAAGTTCATTCATGTCATTCATTCATTCAATGGTATAATTCAAAAACTTAGTAGTAGTCAAGTTTCGCAAAATATAATTAAAAACAAGACATAAAAGATAATGTTTCATTAAGATTCGAACCTACAACCTTAATTTTAAACTAAGAGTTTTAACTCTTTTTTCCCGAGGCTAGTTAGGAAAGTGTTGTGTCTGAAACTTTTAAGTTATACATAAACCATGAATACGGTTTTGCCATACTTTAAAATCCGTCAGTTTCACTTTGGAATCTAATTATAACCGACAATATAGCTATTGATAGATTGATTATTTTAATATCGGTAATATATAGTAGGTAATTGTTGTGTGGCGTTAAGCATTGTTGACTTTCTATCATTTGCTTCATGCCATTACAGAAAATCGTTTATTCTACTTCGTGCCCCGTCCGTTACAACTATGATGTCCATGTATGTATGACTTCTTCTGTTCTGAGAGTATATTAACGCCATGAACACGACATGCACGTGTGTGTATGTGTCCGTGTCCAGGTTGAAACGTATAAACGGCATGTACGTGTATATGTTTTTTTGTGTCCAGGTTGCAAAATAACCACTTCTGAGAGCAGTCATTATTTACATAATAATAAAATTGAATAGCAGTTATAGAACTTTTGAACATTTCTTGTAATTGTCTTTTTTCTTCGTTCCTATATGTTTCCGTATGAGAAAGAAAATGTTTTTGTTGTACAAAAAAAAGAGCAAAAAAACTGTGTCTTAAAAATTTCTTTAATGCACATGTGTATAAGATATATCTTCATGCAAAATGATCTTGCCTTATCATGTGATCGATTTGTCAATAAACTTGAATTATCACTGTAACCTATCTGCACTAAGGATTTTGAACTTCACTTAGTCATGTTCACCAAGCACGTGGATTGATTCAGAATGATACGAAAATATTTAAATTTGTCGCATTTTTGTTATATTGTCACGTTTGACTTTATATATTTTTAAAGCATGGCATTCTAGCTGTCTGTTCGTTTAAACCGTTGAACTATCGGACTTGTCTATAGAACCGCAGAAATGCTTATGTTACAGGTGTTAGATTGATAGCGGAAGAAGAAAATATCTTGCCTTGATTTCTTTCGTTGTAAAAGGCCGACAGACCTTGTGCCATTGTATTAAGATGTAATGTTATTTCATTTGACCTCAGTGAATTTGTTAACGCGTAGAAGACATTATTAGAACTGTCTTTTTATTCTGGATATTCTAGATCATTACACGTTTAAAGTAATATTGCAAAGAAATAACCAGAAACAACGCTTTATGAGTAAGCAAGTTTTAATAAATTGCTAGACAAATATGTTTTCTTTTAAGTGTAAATGAAAGGGGTGGTAGTTCTATTATCGTACCATTGGTATAAATCAATTAATGCTTGTTCTGAGAAAAGAAAAATAGCAGTGTAAACTAAGAAGATAAGTTCTTGTATTTAACAATTAAAACATGGTTTATCTTAAATCATACTAGTCGATCAATTTACCTTAAGTTAAGTATTATTAAGTTTATTTTCTATTGAAAAGGTGTGTCTTCTTTTGTTTCAATATATACTTTAATACATTGTTGAATGTTTGATTTTTCATTTATACAGCTGGAATATTTATGTTCCGACGTCTGTGTGTATGGTATTTTCTATCCAGTCATAGAAGTAGTTCATGTTAGTATAGAGACCTGGGTATCTTATATCCCCGCACTGATAACCAATTGAAACAACGCCCGTCTGTATCCAATGGTCGTTATGGTAACAAATTAGTGGCCCGCCAGAATCGCCCTGAAATTGACGATTAAACTATATTTATCATATCAGCTTGGTATAGATTAATAAATAAATCTACATCAATAAATGCAAATTGTATTTAAAAAATAAATGATTTTTATATGATATAGTTGCTGACAGACATATATAATTTTGCTCTATGTCTCGAAGAGTTCAGTGTCGAAGCTTTATATGTGAGGCATATGATATTTTTAATCAAGTCTTGCCTTGCAAGCGTCTACTCCAGTTCGATCAGCTCTTGCGCATATCACCGACTCTTGAATAGAAACGAATTGCTTCGCCTCGTGGTCATCCGGCAAACTTTCATAAATATTTCTACATTCATCTCTTGGTACGATCCTCAATTCCGCCGAGTTAGGAAGCTCTACACCAACGCCTTCTACAATATATAATACACTATACTTTGTAAAATGCACATGAACTAGTAAAACACGTTTATGTCACAACGGTCATGCAAAACGTGATTAAATATAGTCGGACTGTACCCTTTTATAAAGGCTTATGTATAACATCAGTTTTCAGAAAAAAAAATAGTATATGTCGTGCTGCCTTCATTAAATGTAGGAAAATTCCGTAATATTGGATCTGTTCTTGACATCAAATCATATAAGTCACACATACGGCTCGCTCCGACAGAAATATGTAAAATGTTTTTTACAAATTCATAAGCTAACACTGCAGCTTGAGTTAGTGATCTCCATTGATTATGAAGAGTACATGTAATTATAAGGAAATTATATAAACTATTTGCAAAACTCCGAAGAAATAAAAAATATTACCGACGTCAACAAGTCCCCATCCAGTTGTTAAGCACGGTGTTCCGTCAGGTACTGTGTAGTTTGGTTCTAAACATATAGTGTTCACATAGTCTGATAACACGACTGGTATGTTCAACTTAAGGAGTACAATATCATTTAGGATCGCATGATCAAATGAAACTGAAAAATAGAAAAGATATATCAAACTTTGATATCTTTAGAGACAAAATATTTGCAGTTTGACGCTAGAAACAATATGCAAATTGATGATGATATGTCTTTGTAAATATAATGTTTATTTTGTCACAGACTCAATCAAACAGAGTCTGCAATTTTCATGTAATTTTGTTTAAATGCTTCCGAGTGATCACTGTTTTTAGATTTTTTACATCAATTTTATCCGATAAACGATTTAATTAAGGACAACAAATAATCTAGTTTTGTTTTACTTATCAAGAAACGGTATTATGTATCATATGCTATACCAATATTTTAGTCAAGTTCTCAATTGTTCTATAGATCATAATTACATGTATTATCTTACGAATAAAATCCGGATGTTTGACGAGTTTATCGATGTAAAGAAACTGTTCTGTTCCGTCCATTATACCTTGATAGTGTTCACCAAGAACTACTACCCAATTATCTTTATTAGATAGTCCCTCACCAGCCATATCACTGAAACGAAATTTCATTTATTTAATGGAAAATAATGTTTGTAAACAAACTTTATCGGTCACATATATTGCTCGATTCTTAAATATAAAAAGACACTTCGGAAAATGAACACATACGAGTAATGTTGAGGCGTCAAACCGTTAGATTTGGTGTCTAATTTACGCCATGTCGTTTTTTTTTAATTCTTAAGCTTTAGCTGTTGTGTTTTAGGAGCGAAAAAAGCGAAAGTACGACTCGACTGAAATCATCCAAAAATAATATAATTCTTTGAACTTTGACAATTTATGTTTTCCTTTTGTTCACATGAAATTTGTTCTATATGCCTGATGAATGAATAAAAATCTTGAAATTTTAAGCTGTAATTTCACAGAAATTGTTCAACATTAAATGTGCGCCGTCATGTTGATGTACGAACTGATAAATGCGGCTATAGAGTTCTTTCCAATGTAAAGAATAATGCTTACTCAAAACAGTGAGCTGCTGACACCACCCATTGCGGGTGTATAAGGGAGCCTCCGCATAAATGAGGCAGTCCTGAATTGTCTGTAAATTCGTGAGAAGCCATAAAATGCAACGACACTAGCCAAGGCCATTCTCCCGGAAGTGACGCATCTCCACCAACGACACGTTTCCGGCGATCATTATGGCGGGCAGCAACTCTCGTCTTGCCACACGAGTCAAGAATGTCTTAACGGAAAAAAAAATAATGAAAGAATAAGCATGTTTCTCTAACATGAATTTTTCGAGGAAAAATCTAATTTATTTCACAACACTAGATCGATAGCTCAGGGACTGGCCCACGTACTTTTGGTCCAACCATTTTGTATGTACACTTGATTATGTTTGTAAAATTATGAAATTGTATATTTTGTGTATATATTTGTTATATAAAATATTATTAAACTAAGATCTATAGCTTTTTATCAAATATGATTTTTTAATGGAAACGTTCTTGTTTAATTTGAAATGACTACAATTATATCGAGTCTATTTCAATAGATGTTTAGTAAATTATTAGAAATGACAGTTGACAGACATGATTATTGTATACATGTCATTAAAGTGTTCTTTGGGAATTTCAACGTTTTCAACAATGTCTCTTCGCTTTTGTCTTCATTTTTGACAATATGTTCTGAATGTTTCTTTCAAGACGTCAATAATCATTATAGCGTTTAATAATACATGACGTATATGTGCCTATATGTATATAAACATGTAAAGAGATGTTATTTCTATTGTAATTATTAGTCATACGTACAATGGAATATTTTACGCAAGCAAGTAATATGCTACTTATAACTAATCTTCATGATGAAAGAAAAACAATCTTACTCAACATTATTTCCAGTCAACTTATTTGGCGTTAATCTCAAAACATATACATATATCTTACCATGTGTATCCAAAGCATCTGAAAATTAAAGATTGTTTGAAATCAAACACAGTCTGATAATGTTCTATGGAATGTTTCAAATATGACATCTTTATGCATATCCTATAACATAAGCTGTTGATTACATGGAGAATAACAATATTTCTTAGGTGTCAGATTGTACACATTTTGTTTCGAAATAATGTTTTATTATTTATGTTAAATTTCGGTTAAGTTCTAGTGCAATCACTCGGCGTAAAAATTTGAAATGAAGATTTGAAGATTTGTCACTAAATCAAACTTTGAAACTTTCATTATGTATTGATATGGAACTTTACCACAGCCGTAGAACGTCACGTGATACTGATTTGGAGTTATCATTGTCAGTTGGTCGACTTCAACATCTCCAATATGAACGTCAGGGAAAGCTATATGATTAGGGTTAGGGCTATACACGGCGAAACAAGAGGCTCGGATTGGGAATGAGTCATCGTCTATCAGCAGCTCGCTTGTACCCGACTCGATAGTAAATAACTAAATAATATGTGTAATACTAAATAACTAAATAAGATATGTAATAAACACCACGTACAGACAATGTATTTTTGTTTTCTTGTTTCTTTATCGATTTTAGAATTACCAGTTTTGAAATTTCAAGGTTATTATTAGATATTAGTGGTATTGTAAATAATATACTAGTTTTGTATATTGAATATATTGAATAGCTATTACACAGATTAATAGACAAATTTAGATTGATGTAAAGATGATACGCATATAGACATCAACATAATTATAATATCGAAATAATATAGGGATACGTTAATATATTTACACGGGATAAAGGAGACTATTTTAGCTTTCTAGTGATTGTTTGACAGTGATTATCTTACTTTTGTTTTCCCATTGTATTCTAGTCTATCGTTGGGACCAAAGTTACAATTTCTACTTGCTGCCATTGCGAATACAGGAATACCCGTAACGTCGTTCTGATTCATTGATATCTTCACAGAGGACACGATCTTTTCTTTATCAAACATGAACTTCTTCCACGTGTCTTGTTCCTCTAACAACAGAGTTGCCAGTTCCACCTGACACGCGCTTCTATCTATTAACAATAATAAATAGCATCCGCTTATAAAAATTCAATGATTTTGCTACTAGCTTATTTAACAGATACTGAAATATGGATAATCTGTAAATTAATATTATAGAGGACTTTCATCAACCCCTTATGCTTTACATGTATGTTACAAAATGCATTTTTGAGAAATAAATAATTTTTTTTCTTAAAAACAGAATATTAAATATGTAAGCATGGTAGAATGCAAGAATATATTGCATTCATTTTGAATGATAAAACTAACATGAACCCGAAAAAGATGTCCTATTTTGTTTTGCTTGTTTACTTAAATCTTTTAAGGATATGTTTTCAAAGCGGACACAAAATACATATTATTAGCAAACAGTTGAGAAAATGTTGCATCATATATTGAAAGTATGTAACATGCATGTTTTACCACAGCCTAGAAGCTCAAATCTCATTGACGTATCATCGCCGACCCTTCTAGTAGGTACAACCCTAACACACCTTGCAAAAACTGCATCGTCAAATACAACAGTATTTGTCGAATTCACGTACAAGTTACCAACAAATTCCTGTAAAATCAAGGACAATATCACAATTATCAAATACAAGGAAATGATAGTTTGGTAAACGTTAAATAAGACTCATTATAAAATGCTTTATTTGTCTTTTTTCTACTTTGACTTGTATGCATTTAAAACATTATAACAATGTAACTTGTAAAATATATTTAAATAGTGTCATACAAGAAGGAATAATAATATTGCAGTATGACAACACAATGACCTGTCCCAATTTCATAAGCGTTTTTTTTTTTTTGGAACCCTTCGAAAATTGAGTGAAATCAAAAATTTGAGACTGCATAGTTCCAGAATATAGTGCCTTCGGTTGAACTATACATCAACCTCTTAGTTGAAATACCGATTGATAATTATTTCGAATATATGCTAGCTTTGGTTGATAACCATGGGATTTTCTTTTAAATATTTTAGTGGAAATTTATAAATATGAAGTGGTTTCATCAAGCGGTTATTCCCATGAGGATGTATAAGGATTAAAGAGATGTGACATGATGATTCCTAAAAGTAACTATTGCTTACGGCACTTATCAATTCTGTATTTTTCATTGACCTTACAAAATTGGTGATTCTTTACACAGTAGATGTTGGGTTATCGCTCTATAGTGAATTCAGGCATCAACTGAACAAGAATTTAAAGAAAAACAGATGTCAAGAAACTTCGTATTACCACACTGTTTCCTTCATTGTCTGTAATGGGTATGAATTGTATACAGTCCTCACTATGTAGAACACGGTAATGCGTCACCCTTGAAATGGAGTTTGGGCTCCCTTGTGTAATAATACCTGTTACCAGCATTGGACGCTCGAATTCAACCTGTATTATACATTTAAAAGTTTTATCAATTTTAAACGAATAAAAGTATGCACATGTTTCTTTCATACAGGTTTATTTGCTGCCCTCAATACGCACATACATCTGTTTAAGGTGAAATATCACATTTAGTAGAAAATAAAGAATATTTATACTAACGTAAATATTTTATTAAAGTCTATCGTTGTACTGCTACACTAATTACCTGAATATAAGACCTGTCATGAAGTGTATTTGTATCTAATGTCATCTGATCATTTGCATGTTGTTCTCGGGGTCCGATACCATCAAATGTTTGCCGAGAATCGTCTCGGGAACTGACGGTAAAACCAACCTGGATATTTTATAGAATCCCTGGCAATGCAAGTGGTGAGCTACAGTGGTAGTCATCATTGGTGACGAGTTCACATTCTAAAAATTAATCCATAAAAGATTACAAACATTGGTAATTTCAGATACAAATTTATTTATTTATTTTATTTGTTTATTTTTACCTAACATAGATAAATTCGAAATTAATTAACATCAAAAAAATTAATCAATTCGCTTATGGAAAATTGCCTTATAGCGTTACGCGCGCGGACTTAGAGAGCAGCTTGACAATACAAATCCTCTTTTTTGTTCCCACGATTTGAATTTTTTATCAAACTACATGTATATTGAAGTCCTTTGTATTCAAATAATCAAGGGTTTTAGCCCAATAAAATGAAAAATAAATATAAATATGGCTTAGGCTAATATCGTGCTTAGTCTTTGATTAGTAACTATCTTTTTTTATAAATTACGTTTAGTATTTTAATACAGAAGAATCTGTTCTGTTTATTTATAAGCTCCATGTTACAATTACACTTAAGCTCTTATTCGGCTTTACGAGCGTTGATGAATGCTTGTGAGTTAAGACTGCCACGATAAACTCGTCTTTCCTTTTTAAAATTTCCCTTGGTAATTCAAAAGTATGATGAAACACCAATCTTCATCTACAGATATTGTTTCGTGACACAAATGCTTATACTTTAAACATTAGACCCTGAATCTCTTTTTGTTAAATTATTACAGCTGTGTGACATGGAGAGTATATCAAAGTTAAAAATGTGAAATTTAATGGAACGAAAAGTATCTCACACATGTGTTTTTTTCTTATATACTTTTATGTGTCACATCTTTGACATAGGCAATATTACCTAGTATTATTTACAAGATCTGAGTTGTTGTTATACGAGCACAGTAAATTAAATAGATATTATTTCAAAGTAAATTTTAAACTGATCTTGTAGATCCCATGTGTTCAAACATTTTAGAAGTTATTTACTATAAAGTCTTCACTTAATGCCTAATTAATTAATAAATAACGACGTGAGCGTGCTCTTAACCAGAAGTTAATGGAAACACTTACAGAATCAAGTATTTATTTTTATATATTAAGCCTTATTATGTCCATATCAATTTCTTTGTCACAGAATACAAAACATTGCTACTTGCCATATATATGTATATAACCAAATATAACAATATTTTTGTCAAATATACATTTTGTCTGAAACGTCAATTTTTAGAGTAAATGGTGTATTGAAATATCATAATAATATAAAACAAACATCTGTGTTAACCAAATACTAGCACTGCGAAAAATATACTGATATACGGGAATATACGGTCCCGTATTTTTTACATATACGGGCGTGTACGGAATGTATTTGTCGAATATACGGACCAAGTATACGAGTCCGTATAGGGAACACCAGGTATACGGAAAGTCCGTATATGCATCAGGCTATAGTAGATTTACGTACTTTTAATGTAAAATCATACAGAATTGTTTGACTTATAGTAAAATTTAATAGCAGAAATGATTCATTGCAATGGAACTGGCTATTATGATATACTGTATCTCAAATCAAACTTGAATTTTGAAGTATGAAGAAATAATAATTTGTGAATATGTTCTTCTTCTTCAGACACTTCTTGGTACATATTTTGCGACTGTTTATAAAGGAAAATAAAAAAAACTGTAAAATCATGAATATTGCTTATAACTTTGATTGCAAGATCCTAAATGTTTACATTAGGTCCTACAATAGAAATACATTGCCTTTAAAAGAAAGAACACTGATATTTATTTAAGATTGATTTTAGTTTCATCATTTAAATAAACTCATTAAGCATATCATTTATACGTTTGTCTATATTTCCAAATTAACACTATACAGGATAGGAAGATCCTGCAATATATCTTACTTTAAATATTGCACATGTGTAAGAACACCAAATATATACAAGTATTTTGTTTTGTAAAACTGAACATTTAGTCTTCCAATGACGTAATATCTGTAAAAAGAATACAAACAACATGACATTTGTAAATTCGTAAATTTGAATAGATAAATATCATATTTCATTAGATCACGAACGGATATTACAATGTTTTAATAAAACCATTTTCAATAATTTTTGCTCATATATCTAAAGTGGCAGCTGCTTGAAGGGCAATCAGGCAAAGTAATTATCATGTTTACAGTTCCATCTTCAACAAAAAAATACAATGTACATTTTTCATTCTTTCGACGTCAAGCAAGTGTGTTTGTTCTAATGGCCTTTTCTTGTCATGGTAATGAACTTGCGGGCAATTTGTATAGGAACTATTAATTAGAATGCCCATTCTTTCTCAGTTCAATACAGCGACCAATTTATCACCTTCCTTTCTTAATCAAAACTGATATGATTGGACATGGCAGCGAAATGAAAATGACATTTCTTATCTTTTAAGTTAACGTTTGACCGCAAACTTTATGAATACTGAAGCAAAACAAAAATTTTATTTACTTTTTCTTTAATATTGATTAATATTCGCTTGTGTGCCTGTCACAAGTTTGCCCCCATAGGTAAAAGAGGTTTGATATAGCAATCAAGTTTTGACTGAAGTAATTCTTCTTCAAACAGTGACAATAAATAATATCGTATGCATAATATATGCACATTGTCAAAAATCAAATACTTCACTTATCAAAACTTCTGCCGTACTGCATTGTTTTATTCGAAAGTAAGAAAAATCATTTATTTTAGCATTGCTTTATTTTTTTTAAGAAAATGTAATGTAAGAATATATCAAGTTGAACTTTAACTGTAGCCTCGTTCAATATAATTTCTGCTTTTTTTACTATGAACAAAATGAAATAAGCACAGATGCTCTCAAGTGTAATAATGTATTGCAAACGAACTGTCATCCAGAACTTTACTGACGTAATGGGCATGTGTTTTACGTCATACCAGAGACAAGATGAGACTGATCGTTTTACTGTGTATGAATATAAATGTTGACAAGAGTTTTCTATGAGATTGTTTTTGGTAATAAAGCACTCGGTCCTTTACAGGTAACAGTGTTAAGCCTTTTCGACGGGAATTTCATTGCACTTTTTATTATAAGTGATGAAATTAAGAAATGATGCCGTTTGAAAAATAATCGAAAATCGCTTAATTGTCATGGATAATGATTCAATTTAATTGCTCGGAATTACCAGTTTGTTTAACCTATTAATATATCTTCAGTCGTCTAATTTATTCTTGATACGCCAGCTGTTATTAGTGTCAGTGATACTTAATGTTTCAAACGGTCATATAAGCAAGATTTATTCAATAGATATGGAAACTGCCATCAATGGACAGGGTGAAAGAGGGTATTATAGAAATCTTAAATCGGTTACATTGTAATAATAACATTAAACTTATATTCGTTTCAATTAAGATTTATCTGACAGCTTTTAAGAACAATTTGAACAACTGAATTTTCTTAATTTTCATTATGATACATCATTAAAGCTGTTCAAGTGTTTTAAACAGTTCTTGGATGATGCATCAGAATATAATAAGAAAATGATAAAAGTTGATTGGGCCTTATACTTGTACTGGGAGGAGTACAATGGGGTTAAATAAGTCATGGTTGATTAAAAAATCTCGATTAAGATGTTGATAAACGATGTATTAGAAAGTGATAAAGATAGATGTCATGAATGGAAAGCACCGATTGCAACGACGGTATTGATATTGAAGTTTCTCCCTCCGCATCCGGGGATCGTGATTAATGTAATTAAGTGGAAAAATCACGCAAAATTGAACATTATTCAAAAGAATCTGTTTTTGAAAGGAAAAATAAACATCTACAACTTCATCTGTCAAAAGGACTAGTCTAAAACTAGATAAATCATGCCTGTATACTTGTAGTTCAGTACATTTTATATGTCAAGCAACTGCTTTAAATGTAGGAAGTTGCCACCTTTCTTAATTGCATATTGTACAGTATGTAACTAAGCATAGAATTAGGAAGTATTGCTTCAAATTATCTCCAGTTTATAATATAATATTATTTTCTCTTGTTCTTGTGAATAGTAGTGACAGAAATATATATTGGCCAAAAAATAAGGATTGGCAAGCTATAAACGGGCCGCAAACACATTTCTGCCCAATCAGGTGTATCAAATAATTAAACTGGTAGTTCAACTTCAGATGTGATGAATCAGCAAGAAAAGACGGATACACTTGATGCTTCGAATGGATAGACGTTAAAGTAATTGGAAATTATGTAGCTTTAAATTTGTTGATATAATACTAAATACAAAAATAGAAAATGTTGAACTATAAGTGCCTGAATACTTGTTTATTACTCCAAAAGAATTGATTGTATCAAAATGACATTGAACAAGTAAATTATCAACGTACACTCACTTTGATCATATATGCGTGTGGTTTTGTTTTATATGTGATAATACAATAGGTGCGTCGGACCACTGTAGTTGAACTAATAAAAACCGTTCGGTTATTCACTCTTTGTTAATGAACTGTTCTTTCATAGTTTAGTAAACAAGCATCGTAACTATGCCGGCCCATGAGGTTGCTGCTACATAAGTATCATACTTTTTGATTTTTGGAGATATTTTGTAGAAAGTTATACAATTCCAAACAACCATACTTTAACAAAATTGTCAACAAAGTTAACATATGCATGCATATCAAGATGGGTATATATATTAGTTTGCTTTCCATATTATTTATCATTTCACATTTTACAGTCAACATACATGTATATGTTTGAAATGATATTGTGTTGATACATTCATGTTTTGCTATACAAAAATCAAAAAATGAATATTATTCAGATTATCGGATGCTTTGTCCCATAATTGATGTTACTTACAATTATTTCACCAGAGTTCAGGACAATTTTAAAATCTTTGAAATATATATTTTCATGTCCATGCTTACCCAGTTTTGGCGAATATTTTCTTGAATACCTGAAAATCTGTATCTGAATTATCTATGATAACATTTATTTATCTATCAACGTAAATAAATCGGCGTCCAGGTTCTAACATGATCAATCTGACCTAAAGTTTAAATTTTAATGTGAAATGGCGCTTCTACGGCAGATTCAATGTATAACATATGGATAATTTCCTCGAGATGATTATAAAGTAGTATTACAATGATAAACCAATGTGTTTTTTTTTCTTCTGAATACAAAAACAAAGCTTTACGAGTAGACTTGCAGTATCAGTAATAAATTAATCTGCTAAATTGGCATTTTTTAAAAAAAATCAAATCTAATTTACTGTTGTTTTTTTTACAAATCAAATCTCTTAACATTAATTGATTCTGTTCAACTTGACAAGATACTTCGAAGTATAGATTCACATCTTAGATTTGCCTACAAATGTCATTTGATAATAATATATATACATTTGAGGACAATGGAAATAAGATGTTTAAAATGCTTCAGAGATATCGAAAATAACATAAATACCACGGTGTTATAATAAATTTAAACTATATCAAAATTTATATCAATATTTTATCAACATATTCATATACGTGTATATATACCAATATATTTAATTATTTATCCACTGGTATCTAAAAGAAATCTTACCCGTTTTATTGTTCTACAAATTGTTGTATCCAATACCATAAATATTTGACATAATGCAAGCAATCTTGAAGTCCACATTTTACTTTTTTATACTTTGTTCAAGTTCACATAGGTCCTATCAACAAGAAAGTTCGTTTATTCTCTAAAGACAGTCTCTCCGCATCATCAATAAAAGTTCCATCGAACAGATGTCACGTGTCTATCTTTTAATAGCTTTCGCATGCTGAGCTTATTTTGATACGGTAATACGATAGGTTAGTTCTACGAGTGACTTATATATCTTTTGAAACATTATTTACTAAACGTATTCACATGTATAATACCCTGAGATACATACAATCTTAATGATATAATATATCATAGCAAGATACTTTTTATATAAGAGATCATCAATTCCATTGTTAAGGCGTTCAAAGTCAAATGGTTGGGTGCTAGACTGAAGATAATATTAAAGACAGACTAATGTAGATTATGACACAAACGGATTACACTTATGTTGACAAAAAAAGATAATTCGAATAAAGTTTAAATGTGGAAAGAACTAATAGGAAAGCAAATGAATAATAAGTTGAAATGTCGAAAGTATGGAATAGTTTTCAACCAGATTATATATTCCCATTGTAACTTATCCTGCCCGTCCGATGCCGTATAGATATCGGTATCACGCCGTGTAAGAGTAACATGTAGTTATTTCTCTGGAGAGCAAGATTCTACCAAAATCTTACATTCTACCGCTAAGTATGGCATTGACCTTAGGGTAAATAATAATATTTGTAATTTTGAGTTTGTTATTTCTTGATAGAAAATAATGCTCGATATCATGATTTATGTTATCTTTGTATATAATGAAATGGCCAATCATTGTGAACGAATTAGATATTTCTATCTATATGTTTTTTAGCATTCTTGTGCATATATGTACAAGTTTCATATAAGATTTTAGAAACCGCTCTGGAAACTATTAATACACAATATATATTTCACAAATGTTTTTCAATCTCCAACAAGTATTATTATTATTATCTATTTCACATAGCTTTATATCAAATGTCAGTTTCGTTTGTACAACTTTTCCACCTACACCAACGATTCTTGTTGTAAAAGCTTAAATAACGTGATAAAAGCACTAACAGATATTGCCTCAGTTCTTACATGTCATGTCCTGTTACAGAAATTCTATGTGCCATTTATTAAGAACTATGACCAAAAGCCAAAGGGTCATTACTACAATTTCATCTTCTTGTGAATAGTCTATCATATATACGATTATTGATATTAATAGATCTTGCTGTAAGAAACAGACGTGAATTGATCAATTATGAAAGAACCAATATAAATTATTTAGCAAAATCAAGCACTATTACACACTAGTATAAAAATGTCATTTTTTCAGCATTTGATTGTAATATAAAATATTTTAACACCGCGATAGGTCAAAGTTTGCAAATCTTGTCTGATGACACATGTAGGTACAAACTATAATCCCTTATCAAACAATGTCATACAGATATAAAATAAATTGTGGGTGAATTCTTATGAAATGCATGTTCTTTGATTGACATTTATGATTAAATGACGATCTCTTGTCACAGTTTTGTCCTTACGAATTAAGATCAGTATTGTGTATTTATAAGATAGCTCACCTTCATCACCGATTGTTTCCTTTGGTTAAAATATTTCTCTCTATCTGATGATAATAGAAAATTCATGCATGTGGTCGTGTAACGTAGGTCATAAATCTGCGATGTGTGCAAAATCTTCATTCCAGAGTTAATATAATTGCAGATTGTAAACCAAATAACAATTCAAAGGAGAATTGAACTATTAAAACAATTAACTTGCAAGAGCACTAAATGTCAAAATATATATGTCACAATCTGTTTGATTAATCGGCTGAAAACCTTGGAATCATCAACTGTATTTCTTTTTCTATGTCAAGAATCATATCATACCGTTCTATGACAAATGTCTTGAACATTTATGCAAAGTTTCATGTAACCGTTGTATAGTATATGTCATTATGATTTTCTTCCTATGCTATTCATTTTGTCTTTAAAACAGAATTCTTTGCAAATTTTATATGTTATACTTATAATGTTTCTGTAAGTGTTTCTAAAATGGCATTTCAGTATTATGCATAGATTATGTAAATTGTTCTGTTTCTCAAAAACATCTCTTATAATTCTATATGAATTGGCATTGCATCAGGTTATGTAATGTATGTAAAATATAATGTACATGCAACGGTGAGATTAAATGAAAATTGTTTTTGTAAATGTTAATTTCATTAATTTCGGATCAGTACTACTTCAATATGCGACAATAGTGTACCAAGACTTGTCATATTAACCTGCTATTATATAATTCAAAGCTGTTATTTCGCATCTAAATTAGGCCCTCAAAACATCCCGTTCTTTGACATTGAAACATTGTTTATCAGCTGACTTACAATTTCATTTTGATACAATTTGTGTTCAAGTTATTATTACTACAACACTTATGTTCAAACATGAAAAAATAAAATAAAATATTCTTTAAATGATGGTTGTTTTACATGCTTTCCAACGAAATCATTTTTTAACCTCTGGCATATTCAAAACCGCAAAAATTTATCAAGTAAACATTTATTTTTTGTACCTCCAAGCAGATACCACGTGCGTTTCTTCTACAGATAGATGAAAATGTGTGTATGCTCTCAAATATATGTCAAGGTACATACTGGCAACTTATTCTTCATTCTGTGGGCTTTCTTTTAATTGCATGCAGCTTACATTTACTACATTTTAGATATCGTCAAATGAGCAAACAAATACACACTAACTATTAGTAATGATTTAATTGAATATTTCAGTAAAACATAGGTATTTTAAGATAGATGTTCTTTCAATTATGTAGATGGTATGTTATTCAATTCTTAATTTCTGGATTCACAGTTGGTTGCTGTAACATAGAAAAAATACATGTCACCAGTGTTGCAATAGCTCGCTGGAAAATGTGGAAGACTTGCTTTAAGGTTATTGTCACAAAATTGTAAGCAGCTTATCACCTCATTGCAATAATTCGTTGTAAATTTAAGTAAGGAAATATATCAATTGTTGAATAATATATCAAATAAGATGTTTTCCTGTTTAACCTTTATTATATGGTCTATAATATCTACCATTGCTCTTTCTGGCATTTATCTCAAAACACGTATGTCAAATTTTATTAAATCGAAGCAAAGAACTCATTCAATGTAACATTGACGGAAACATAGACGATATATAGGATGATGACCACCAATATTCATTTTGTAAATGCATGTATTGTATATGCAGTTTAACCGGGATAAATTTCATTTTTCTTTGTACAAATGTTAATTGTTTTAACATGCATTTGATACGTGTAATAAGTTGAAACTAACCCAAAATATCCAATATGGTTTTTCACATGTTGAATTAATTGGTGAGATCGTATCTGCGATTGGATACGAACATTCGATAAAAGCAAAACGAAAATGTTACTTTTTCTATTAATACTGAATAATATCAATCATTTGTTACCTCCTGTTGCCTGTCACAGTTGACTTACATAGGAAAATTGTATAAGAAGTTGATACCGAACTCAATCATCTTCCACACGTGGCAAAAAATAATAATCGTATGCTAATAATGCACATTGTCTAGAATTATTTCACTTATCAACGTTTCCGCAGTACTTTTCGTTTCATTAAAAAGTAGGAATCATTATTTTAGCACTGCTTTATTCAAAATAAAAGAAAATGTAATGTAAGAATATACCAGTGAACTTGAACTGTTCTTCGTACATATCATTTGTGCTGTTTTGTGACTATAAACAAAATTAAAATAAGCACAAATGCTCCAATGGTTGTAATAATGTATTGCAAACAATGTCACCAGAACTTTTACCATGACGTAATGGGCATGTGTTTTACGTCATACCAGAGAACAAATGAACTTTTGTCTTACTTTTATGAATACAAATGGTTGACAAGGGCAAGTTTTCTATAGTATGTTTTTGTAATAAAGCATCGGTAATTACAGGTAAACAGTGTAAGCTTTTCCGAATCGGGAATTTCATTGCACTTTTATTATATGATGAAATTAAGAATGATTGTTTGATAATCGAAAATCGCTAATTGTACGCGGATAATGATCAAATTTATTGCTTGGATATTACCCATTAATTTTTTAACCAATTTACAATACGCTTTACGCTCTCATTTCATGCGACGCAGCTGTTTAATAGTGCTCAGTAATACTTAATGTTTCAAACGGTCTTATAAACAAGATTTATTCAATAGATCTGGAAACTGCCATCCATGGACAGTGTTTAAGAGGGTATTATAGAAATGTTAAATTAGTTACAATGTAATAATAACATTAAAATTATATTCGTTTCAATTAAGATTTATATGGTAGCTTTAAAGAACAACTGGAACAACTGAATTATCTACGAAAGACCGGTAGGGGCATTTCAACTTCATGAATTCTCGATTTCATCTTCATGAATTCACAATCTTAACTTCCTGAATTCCCGTTTTCAACATACGGAATTCACGAATTTACGATTTCAGCTTCATAAATTCCCGATTTCAACTTCATGAATTCACGATTTCAACTTCATGAATTCACGATTTCAACTTCACGAATTCACGATTTCAACTTCATGAATTCACGATTTCAACTTCTCGAATTCAACTTGGTTGATTCATGATTTCAACTTCACAAATTCACGATTTCAATTACACGAATTCACGATTTCAACTTCATGAATTCACGAATTCACCTTCATGAATTCACGATTTCAACTTCACGAATTCACGATTTCAACTTCATGAATTCAAGTTCTTAATTTCACGATTTCAACTTCATGAATTCACGATTTCAACTTCATGAATTCACAATTTCAAGTTCATGAAGTTGAAATCGTGAATTCGTGAAATTGAAATCGTGAATTCATGAAGTTGAAATCGTGATTTCGTGAAGTTGAAATCGTGAATTCGTGAATCTGAAATCGTGATTTCGTGAAGTTAAAATTGTGAATTCGTGAAGTTGAAATCGGGAATTCATGAAGATGAAATCGGGAATTCATGAAATTGAAATGTCCCTACCGGGCTTTCGTTATTATCTTATTGTTTATTATGATAC